GCGCCGGAGCTGAGCCGCCTGCGCTCTGGTTCTCCGCTGCCGCACCTCGGGACCTAAAATGGCGGCAGCCTCGGAGCCGCTCCAACCTAGAAGTGCGAGGTCTCAGGAAAACTACACTTCCCAGCATGCAGAGCGTCACCGAGGCGGAATCTCCACAGCCCTTTACTACAGTTCCCACCGTCCTGCGGAGTCCCGAGCCTCAGCAGGTGTCCCGGGAGACTACATCTCCCAGCATGCAGTGTTTTAGATTGGCTGCGGATGATTCTCGGTTCGTCCTTGGCGGACGGTGAAGTCGTCCACCTTCAAGCTCACACCGCTGGCTCTGGTGCTGTTAATTTATGTCTCATTGAACCTGGTGAAGCGGTCGGAATGTGGCAAAAGACCAAAGTCATGACTAAGTTTTTCAATTCCTCGCTTTTATTTTATTTTTGCAAGGAGAGGGGTGAAGAAATTGAGGAAGATAGGAAACTGGTGAAGGATGGAAAGTGCATCCAGTTAACCCTTAATGTAGAATTTACAAGACTATGCTGCTGAGGTAGGAAGCAAGTACAGCACTCAGGGATTGGCACAGCCCACGGACACACAAGGCGCTATGTGGTCATTCAACAGATATTTGTGGTGTGTGTCTCCAATGCCAGGCACCTCTCGGTGTAGGGGGAGGCTGGGGGAACACACAAATATCACTCTGTGTACTTTCTAGAACATTAAAGAAGCGATTGAGAGTAATCTTAGATTGCTGCATGCAGAAGGCGTATGCGATGAGTTCTAAGATTATATGTGAATGACAGAAAGCCCGGCAAGTATCAGAGGGGCAAATATTCCGATCAAAGAGGACAGAAGTGCAAAGAGCTGAGGCATGAAGGAGTTTTTGGCATTCAAGGAAACAAAAGGCTATGGCCGGAAGGTCAAAGACTACTCTTAACGGATAAGGAGGTGATGCTGTTGAGTTGGGCAGGTAGTCAGAAGCCAGATCCTAAAAGAGTTTTTAAATTCAAGATAGAGTTTAGATTTTTAAGATGTTAGGAGGGTTTGGGCTAGGGAGTGATGTACATTGTGTGTGTGTGTGTGTGTGTGTGTGTTGAAAAGATTTGGATTGCCATATGGAGAGTGTGTTTTAGAGTGGCCAAGAGGTAGAAGCAAGGAAATCAGTGTGGTACATTGTAAAAATAACCAATGGCTCAACGGATAATGTGTAGTTAAAAAGAAACAGGCCAAGACACCTTTGGTATCTCCCCTACTGATTCTGGTCTTTGACTTTGGCCAATGGGACATTACTAAACATGCTGCAAGCAGAGACTTGAAATGCACTTTCCAGTTGGAGCCTCTCCTGTTGGAGATTTTGGGAATCTTGTGGCCACATCAAAGGAAGAAGTTTGGGTTAGTCTAATGAATGACAAGGGACACGTTGTTAAGTCTTCACCTGTATCCCGCGGACATCCAACCAACTGTGGCACTTGTGCGATTTTTTTTTTTTTTTTTTTTTTGTACTGGGAATTAAACTCAGCACCTTGCACTTGCGAGGCAGGCGCTTGTGCTACTAAGCTACATCCCCCGCCCTGTGACACATGTAAAGGTCCCCTAGACTATCCTGTTCTAGTCCTGCCCACCCATCCAGATAAACCACCCACCCAACAGAATGTGAGAAACAATATTTTAAATTACAAAGTTTTGGGGATAACAGGAACTACCCCAGAACTCAGTGCTAGAAGGTGGCTAGATTCTTCTGATAGTGGGGAACACTAAGAAAGTTGGAATTGAAATATTTTGGAGGCAGAGTTTATAGAACTTGCATTTAGGTTGAATGTTGAATTTGATAGAGGGGATTCAAGAATAACTTGTAGATTTTTGATGTGGGCATCTGGGTGGATAGTGGTGCCATTTATAAGATATGAAATATTAAACACTGTGGGGAGGAGGGAAATCTGGAGGTATGGTTTGATGATTTTATGTTAGAGATGCCTTGTACATATCCATGAGATATAGACATTGCATAAACAAACTCATCATAGCTATTAAATAGGCCAAAATAGACATTAATAGACAAAAATAGACTTTTTGGAACTCATTGGATGACCTAGGAAAATGTGTAGTTAAAAAGAAATAGGCCAAGGACAAAGTTCTAGTATCCTTTACCATTTAGAGGTCAACGATGAAGGAGGAATGATAGAGGCAGGAGGGAAATCAGAACGAACATAATAACACAAAAGTCACAAGACTGTTGGATTCAGCCTCATGGAGGAGTGGTTTTTAAAGAGCTGCTAGGAAAAACTGGAGAAGCAAATTAAGGTGAAGAAATGGAAATAATTCTTAAATTGGGGCAACAGCTAGATAGGGCAGTGGAGTCCAGGGAGGGCATTTTAAAGCTGGGAGATATTAGGGCATATTTGTATGCAAAGAGAGAGAAATTGATTATGTATGGGACAAAGGGGAGATTTTCAAAGTCAAAGGAAGGAAGAGGGCTCCAGTAGAGAGGCCTTTGGTTTCAGGGATGCGTCATCCATAATGACAGCATAATAGGGACATGCAAGTGCATAGTGAGGATATAGAAGGCAAGAAAGATGGAGATAGTAATCTAGGAACACTGGAGTGTGGGAAATGGGGTGTTCTTTTCTGTTTTTCTTGGATTTTCTTAATGAATTGTGAGACAAGAATGAGAGGTGAGGAGTGGTATGAGAAGTTTAAATAGGACTGACCTATAATAACAGAAATCATCCATTGTTCAGTCATTGAACAAGTATTAAAGGAGTACCTTTTATGTGTCATTGTGTATCACTAGTTCATCCCTGAAAAATGGACAGGATGTCTGTCCTCAAAAAGTTGACAGCCCAGCAAAAGACATAAATATATATATATGTGTGTGTGTGTGTAATATGTATGTGTGTATATATATATGTATATATATTTGCTCATCAATTTATAATTTAAATCAAGAGACAACAGTAATAGAGCCTACCAGGAAGATTTATTTGAGGTGGTTGTCAGGAGAAAGATTAACTTAGAATTAAAACCTAGAGTACCAGCTGCCTCATTTTTAGTATAACTTTTACATTTCATATACAAATCTTTCCACTAGAAAAACTTTAGACAGGTTATTTAAGTCCATGCACTTTTATTAGGTCCTTTGTATGCAAAGTAACTATAGCCATATAATGCTTCGTATGAAAAGTTTTATGCAAAATAATGTTTGACATCTATACATTTTCAAAAATTTATTCTTCGGAAGGATTAGAATAACTAGTTTATTTTTTAAAATTCTGTATGAGTACATAGAATATCTATCTTTAAAATGAACATACAAATACATTAAGGATCAATTTCACAGCATACAATATATGAAACCATTTCTGTTTGGGAGCAATTTAAGAACACTTTTGAAATCCAGAATTTGATAATGCTATGAGCTTATAATTAATATTTGTTGGTCAAACATACTCAGTATAACATATAAAATATATGCTTAATATTTCTTTTGTTTTATTTGAGTTTTGTAATATGGGTTGTAAATATTTCTTTTGTAAAGATTCATATACTGAAAGTAGCTCAAAACTAGAACACTGAGGAACATCAGCATCAACACAAAGACAATAGCAGAAACCAGGTAGCCACTTGGTCTGAAATAAGAACAGCAAAAAGTCATCAGAAGTCATTGTTCTAGCTTTGGTTCTTAGTTTCTTTAACCAAACAAGTTTTGAGTAGGTTGTTACTATGCCTTTGGCAACAAACAGAGACTAGTAAGTCATAATGTCTACATTTCGGCATCTGAGCGTTTGAGGCTGACCAGGGAGGGAAGACAGTATAGTCCGTAAGAGAGAAGGAAACATGAAGTTCTGTGGGAGCTGTGTGTCATGGGAGGGGGGGCGGTGTTGCCATGCCACGCAGGGAACCTTGATCTGAGTGCACATAGGAGTTAGCTAGATAAAAATGTCTGGGACTAGAGAAAGCAACTGTGGTGGAACTGTTGTAGGCATATGCATGGTGATAGAAACGTAAGAACGTTTTAAAATCTCTCCCAGATGTTCTGGAACTCAAACTAGTTCATCTGCCTGGAGCTCAGGTGCTAGGTAGAATGATTAGAGATGAGGAGTGATCGGTGGGCAGAGGGGCTTAGGGTGCCGCTCAGTGGTAGAGCTCCTGCCTAGCATCTGTGTGGCCCTGGGTTGGATCTCCTGTGCCACAACAAACAAGCCAAAAGCTAAGTGGACAGGGGCCAGATGAGCTGGACTTCATCAAGCTAGAGTGTGGGTTTTAGCCAAAAAAAATGAGAGAGTTCCAGACATGTAATATAGGATTGACATTTCAGAGGGATGATTCTGATGGTAGTGTGAACAGTCAATAAAAGGAAAGCTTGTGTATGAAGGCCAAAAACCCAATCATGAGGTGTTTGTAAGAATCTAGGCAAGTGATGATGTGGGTCTTGACTACATCAGTGGCTGAAGCAATGGAGAGAAATGGATACATCTAAGATGTGTTCAGGAGTTAGGTAGGATTGGCCTTGGTGATTGTTAAGATGTAGTATTTGAGAAGGAAGGACGAATGATGGCTGTTACCTAGGTTTTGGGAATAGGTCACTGGGATGCCAATGTCATCATTTACCACTGACACAGGAAATTCAGAGGGAAGAACATTCCTCTGCCACCACCTCCTCATCCTCGCCACCCCAGAGGTGGGATCTCTGTTGCCCAGACTTGCCTTGAAGTCCTCCTGAGTAGCTTGGACTAGAGGTACATGCCACCACATCTGGTTTGGAGCACTGTGTGTGTGTGTGTGTGTGTGTGTGTGTGTGTCTGATTGGTTCATGAATTTAAGGGACCTGAGGATCAGCCGTGTGTGTGTGTGTGTGTGTGTGTGTGTGTGTGTGTGTGTATAGGGAGTGGCTGAAGCTGGAAATAACTTCAGTCCTAAGAAAAACATCTTGCCTGAGACAATTCCAGTCATTAGTTACTAGGCAACCTTGTGTCTCGTGACCTCCACTTTTGTCTTTTGTCTTATTTTCTTCATCCCCTCACCATTTTTCACCTGGGACTATCAAGAGCTCCTTGGGTCATGGCAAATTGGCACTCAAACAGATACAGCCAGTAAGAAAAATTAGTGGGCGACAGGACGTTTCTCAATTTGTGCACAACAGGGGGAAAGTAGTGAATTGGTTACGGCCAGTATTCATCACAGGTGTGCATCAGGATTGGCATCATCAGGTGGAAAACTTGGGGATGGAGGTTCACTAGAGCCAGAAACGGGTTCACTAGGGCCGGAGAGATAAATGAGCTTAAAGAGAAGCCGAAGAGAGAAAAGTATATTGAATTACTAGTAGTTAAAAATGGGACAAATAGAGTTTCAAGAACCACAGATGTATGTAGATGTGTATAAAAATGTTTGTTGTATTCTTGGTTCCTGTATTTACCTTACTTTTTAAGACCACTACAAAGGATTTGGCTCAGAGTACTACTTTAAAATCAAGTCGAGTGGGAAAATGCGGGCGAAACAAAAGTCCCACTGATACTGCTTAAACCCTCTAGCTTTGCTCAATCAGATAAGGAAGACAAAAAGGAATTCTTTTAAATTGTTTGCAGCTGTCTCAGAGCAGCATGGCGAAGTCAGGAGGAAGGACACAGGCCAGGTGCAGGAGGCTCCCCCCGACTCCTGTCCTAGGCAGACTCAGCTGTGATTTCCTATGGGCCCACATGCCCTGCTCCACCGTGGCTGCTAGCGTGTGCCGCCAACCACAGACCTGGGTGCCTGGGGCCAAACAGGCAGGACGTGCCCGTGGTGCGCCCTGGCTGTCCCCACGGCCAGCACCAGCATGTGTGTTTTTGGCACCAAAAGTTTACACAGTGGAAACAGTGCCTGTACTTGGAATCTCAGCAGCAACAGGACATCCAGTGGCCAGAGCAGGAGCAGTGGCCAACACACCCAGCGCCTGGAGTCAACTGACCAAGACAGTGGCTGTGCACATCCCTGCGTCCGTCCCTCCCTACCCAGCAAGCTAGTTCCCAGGGAAACTTCTTGGGTGCCTCAGCCACGTGGCCCGCCCACCAGCTAGCCACACCCATTACACTAACAATGTGGGCTCTGCTAAGAGGGTTAGAATGATAGTGGCCCAGATCAGAGGAGAGGAAAGCCAGCTGAAGCCCTGGGGAGGGGAAGTACAGGCGATGGAGCCCGTTCCTGACAGTGAGGCAGGTCGATGAGCCCCTGCCAGCAGCTCGCCCAGCCGTAGGGTGATGGAGCAGAAGCTGCAGCCAGAGGCAGGAGCCCAAATACAAATAGGAAGTCAAGGTTATGATTCAATTTACTTAAAACACTGCTCAAATCACCCCAGACTCTTGTATGCTCAACTGGTCATTTTTCCCTTGACAAAAATTTAAAAATTATAAATAAAAAAAGGGATCCAAAGATTTTGGGTTTCCTGATATATATTGGGTTGAAAAATAGAAATTAATTATTTAAAGGTATAGATTTTTAAGGCCTTCTAGACACAAGTGCGGATGGCCTCCGGGTGTGGCAGCTGCAGGTCTGCAGGTGGCAATCCCAGCCTTTTCACAGCTTAGTTGAGTCACAGGTTGGAATTTCTGCTTAGCAGTGAAATTCTGCCTCACGGAGTAGAGCCTCATAAGGAATAGAGCGGTTTTCTCTGTCTCCACTACAGTTGGCACTAGAAGAAGCCTTTATATTCTTCCCTTAAGGTGATTGATTTAAAAGACTGTCTCCATCAAGATAAAAAAACATTTTGCCTTTAGTTAAAAAAAAAAATCGTATTTCCTAAGATTTACATTAATGGAGATAGTTAAAAAGATTACTTAAAAGAACATAATTTCCATAAATGGAAACTTTGCCCCTTGTATCAAAAATTGTATATTTCAGTGATAACTTTAGTCTTTTAGTTATAGTAAAAAATTTCCTCATTTTAGATTATACAGCTAATAATACTGTCTTGCTTTAATTACAGTTTTTCTTCTTGGCATCATATGTAGGATATGCCAATGATTTAAAAAGTTTTTATAAGTCCTTGGTGTTCTCTTGAGTCCTAATTAGGTTGATTGCCTGTTTTACATTCCTAAATTTACTTGGTATAAAAAAACTTTGGTATTTTACAAATAGGTATAAGGTTTGGAATATGATCTGACAACATTGGGATTTGAACAGTTGCTTGATTTTGACATTCCATTTAAATAATGGCAGGTCTAGTGGAGGCCTCCAGAAGGATACAAAGTTTGACAACTTCTTCATATTTGGGTCACTTATCCAACAAAGGTATATTATACCACAAACTGTTCAGATTAACCCTAACTGATTTTCAGACTTTGGTAATATTAATTGGCTTTGCCCAACTCAACATACACGCATTGGGGATCTTTGGCAGTCTTGGGGTTCTTTTCAGTGGCTCTGGTCTTGAGGTGCAAACTCTTATTGTTCCTTTTTCTTCAGTTCAGCAACAGTGGTGATGACAATTTTTGTCCTCTTGGCAATCCACATTGGCTAACTTCTCTGGTGTTATTGATTATCATTATCCTTTAGACAAGTTAATTCAACCTCCCTCTGTTTTCACAGATGGGTGATCTTAGGGTAGGAGAGGCTATATGACAGCTTCCTCTTCCAAAGGTTTCTCACTGTATGATCAAAATTCATTTACAAAAACGAAAGGGGGAATCAATCCCTCCCACCTCTTGGCAATGTATACTATCACAGTTCAATCAGGTAAAGCAAAAAAGCTAATTTGAGTTTGAGGATATGCTTGTGTTTTGCTAGAACATGCTGTCTGGCTGTATCATGAACTGAGATCTGGAGAAGTTTATTCTACCTTTCAAAAAGCTGATGTAGTCCTGTGACAGTAATGCCTCAAAGACTGCTCTACAAGCAATTGACAAGGATGAGGCTAGATCCAACCAAAGGAATTGACCCAGAATGCCTAGGAGATGGTAACCAAAATGGGAATCAAAGGTCTGAATAGATGATAGAGTATATAGAGATAACTGAGCTAAAAGTTACCAGTATTATTAAAGCAGAATAAAATATAAAAAACATATATTAATTATAAATAAAAAATTTTATTCCTTCCAAATTCTTCTGATAAGAGATCTCTGCTAATTGGCAAACAACAAAATCTGAATAGTCTATTTATAATTATAAATTTCTAAAATTGTAATAGAGTTACTGTAATTCAATTTGGTCAAAACTATATTTCAGTGCACTCTGATTTTGTAAAGATGTTTGTTGGTTTGTTCTGTATACTTGTTATTTGTCTTGTTTGTCCATTCCGTGAACAGCTGTCCCCTTTTTATTTGAGCTCAACAATTTTTCTCTTGCCTTTTTTCTTTTGCATTTTTGGATCATTTGTTCATAGTACAATTTGGGTTACAGACTTAAAAACATGCTTCCACCTGGGTTACCAGCTGGTCTAGTGATATCAAAATTGGTTTACTCACAGGTTATTAAAAATTTAAGATAATTCACAAAAATCTCTTAGAGTTGGGAGAAATTATTGGCCAAGACTCTAGTAGATTATTGGACTTGCTGAATACAGGTACCAAAAACTTTGGACTAAAAATCTTTAACCTAAATGAGTAAGTTCATGAAAAATGGAAAGGGTTCAAGAATGAGAAGGTCTTCTACAGTGTCCTCCAAACAGCTTCTCTGCTTTCAACTGAACACCCATTACTGATACTACAAAACAGAAAAGAGACAGAAGTAGGGAGCAGCTGAAGCTGGAAATACTTCAGTCCTAAGAAAAACATCTTGCCTGAGACAGTTCCAGTCATTAGTCACTAGGCAACCCTGTGTTTTGTGATACTAACTTTGTCAAAAGTATAAATAAATGCCCTACGGTGATTGTTCAGTTCCTCTTTACTCATCAGGAGAGAAGGCTCCACCTGACCTCAGCTTTTGTCTTTTGTCTTATTTTCTTCATCCTTTTGCCATTTTTCCCCAGGACCATTGAGAGCTGCAGGGGTTGTGTGTGTGTGTGTGTGTGTGTGTGTGTGTGTACAGCACTTAGACACTCTCAGCTGAGTGCTGGACATCCACCTCTTCACCCAGGACTATGCATGGGTGCCTCTCCTTGAAAACGATTTCATTCTTAGGTTAGACACTTAGCTGCTGTTGTTTATTTGTTATCCCAGTATTGGATGTTAGTTTTGGTTCTCCTTTGAACCGTACTTATTTGTTGAATTGTTACAGTTTTTCAAGTCACGTTAGCCTGATCTTTCTTCTCTGTGACTGCAAACATGACCCAGCTGCAGTGCATGGCTTCCTTCTTTCGAACTTAAATAGCATAACTGTCTGATATCTGCCAAGCATGGTGCAAGGTACGAGTAATAAAATGATGAGTAAAAGCAAACAGGAGCCCCATCCTTAAGAAGCTTACATTTCAGTGGGGATATAATAAATAAACAAATGATGAAATAAACCTAAAATTGCAAATTGTGATAAGAAGGAGTGATTCGCAATACAATGAAAGCTCATTATAGCAGTATTTAACCTTGTGAATGGGATCAAGAAGTGCCCTCCTGAGGAAAAGGTAATTACACAAATAGCTGAAGAATAAATAGAAGTAAAGTTGGTAAAGTTCAGTAGTAAAGAGAAAAGCAGAGTAGATGAATAGCATGTGCAAAGGTATAGAGCTGGCTGGGGACTGAAAGAAGGATGGAGGGTCTGGAGCTGAGAAAACAATGGGGCCACAATCCCAGGTAAGTACATAGATGCTAGATCCTAAGTCCTTCTAGGCCACGTTAAGGAATTTTACTTTTATAGAGGGAAACTTAATGGGGTCAAAGCCACTACAGTTAGCATTTTGAAAATACTACTATGGCTCTTGTGAGGATAATGAGAGAGAAAAGTAGGCCCGGAAAAGGGGAGTTCAGCTAGGAGTCTGTTTCGGGGATAGTGGTAGCTTGGATAAGAGGGATGGTGGTGGAGGTAGTAAGAAGTGGACCCATTCCAGGGTTACATAGGAGAGAAAATGAATGGGAGCCATGGTGGTTGGATGCATGGCCATGGGTCTCCAAGTCACTGCTCATGAAAGGGGTTTTCTTACAGGGAGACACCACCAGCTAACCCGTCTGGTGCTGGTACCTTTCGGGGTGAGCAGAGGCCAATCTGTGGCCACTAACCTAGTGGTCCATTCCCTCTGTGGCACTGGTGTGTGCCCTGGCTGCTGGCTCAAGCTACTGGTGAGGACCTCCTCACTTAGCCTTTCTCCTCTCCTTCTTCCTCGCCAGGATGGATACTACTCCATACTCACCTACATAAACCACGCCAGCGCAATGAGGAAGAAAAGTTGCTGCAGGATATTAAACATGATTCCCAAAGTTACCTTAGGAACAACTCTGCTTATTTCACTGGCAGGTTATTTATGCTATTAACCTTCAATTAGCATCAAAAAATCAAGGCATCAGTGATATTTAAAGTAGAACCACGAATACCTTGTCTTCCACTTTATGTTTTTGGCACTGGCACTGAACTCAGGGGCTCACACATACCAATCAAGTGCTCTACCACTGAGCCACACATCCAGCAAATATTTCCTACTTTTGTTTTCATTTATCATTTTACAAACAAACAAAAAACAGAGCAAATAAGAAACACCCCAAAACATCAGGCCCAGGACAGAGAAGCAAACTCAACTGAGGTCCTAACTTTAGTACTTTTGTTGTTGTTAAAAGAGATGTGACAGGGATTAATTAGAGGGAGATATAGGATGCGCTTGAATGGAGTGTGAGTGCTCAGAGAAATGAGACACCCCTACCTTTAGCCTTAAGCCTTTTTAGTCTGTTCTCCAAGGTAAAAAGAACTGAGTCTGGGGAAATGTCTGCACTGTTTGTTTCCTGGACACAGAATGATTTTGTAGAAAGCAAAAAAGAAATCTATATATAGACTAATAAAAGCCATTGCCTTTGCAATGGACGCTTCGTGCAAGTTTTAAATTTTGTTTTGTTTTGTTTTAGGATTCATCTGAAGGCCATGCCCTATGGTAATATTTTACACAATAAGATTTACATTGGGAATCCACATAGTGACAGTACAGGTTTTGCTTTTGGGAGACACTAGGGTGCATTTTCTATGTAGCTGCTGTTCATATCTTTTAGAAATTCCTTCATTAATAACCTGCTACATACTTCTCATTACCTGGGAATCACTCCAGAGATCTCTATAGCAAATGTAGTCGTTAGGTTACAGAAACTGCAAATTAGAAAAAATAGTATTAAAGGTTAAATTAAATATATTTAAAACTTCTTCCATATTGCTATGGTAACAATCAAATCAAATATAATCTTAGGGTGTTGTTTTATTGACAAAGGATAGAACAGATATATTTATTTAACAGCTGTGATGATTTTTCTATACATAGATTTTAGACTGCTATGAGATTCCCTAGAGTGTAACACACTATAACCATACTGTCCTCACAGAATTCTCTTGTTTTTTAAAAAATTTTTACAATTAAAAAAAATTTTTTTTGGTATTTTTGAGACAGGGTTTCACTATGTAGTTCAGGCTGGCCTTGAACTCACTTTGTAGCCTAGGCTGGTCTTGAACTTGTAGTGATCCTCCTGCCTCAGCCTCCCGAGTGCTGGGATTACAGGTGTGTGTTACCACGCTCGGCATAATTACCTCATTTTAATAGTGGCTCCAAAGGCAATAGTAACAGTAATAGTTATATATATATATTACAAAATCTGGAGCAATAATATGTATTGATAGAAGTAATAAACAGTTTACGTTTATTGGGCATTAACATCTAATGAAAATGAATGCTAACTGAGCATTTGCCGTGTACTGGGCAGTGTGCCAAATTCTTACATGCATTATTTTAGTCAATCCTTTTATATGAGGAAATAGGCATGTTAAGCAACTTGCAGAAGTTGCCACCATTGTTTGAATAGCAGAGCTGGCATTTGAATTCAGGTTTTTCTTGTCCTGGACCCCGGGAGGTTCACCTGAAGCAGACTGACTCCTTTGGGAAGCTGAGAGTGTCAGGGGCTCGATATATGGAATAGTATTAGCATGTCTAAAATGACTGAGTCTCTCTCATGACTTAACATGTTGTTTGGAATGAGGCAGAAGACGGCTAAGTAAACCCAATGGGATTTTTACTTACCTTCACATGGGAGAAGGCAGAAGAAAGGAGTTTATTCCACTGGGTACTGACTATGCACCCAGCAAGTGCTTCATTTACTTCTCAGAGTACCGTAAGATGGGGACTGCTCACCCATTTGACAGATAAAGAATTAGGCATACACAGGCCTAGAAATTTGCTTAATTCTGAGTTTAACTTTGATCTGAACAAGGAAGGGATATTATGCACTGGTAAAGAAAATGTAATCATCCTACATGTGTTTTCACCTTAAAGAAAAGACATGACACAAAAACTGGTAGAACTAAAAGGGGAAATAGATAAATCCCTAATTATAGTTGAAGGCATCAGCATTCCTCTCTCTGAAATTGATAGGAAAAGTAGACAGAAAATTGGTACCAAATTAAATAAAAACGGAGATGTCGGAAATCCCTTTGTATATAGTAATAAATCTAAAGCCTTAGGGAAAGAAGAATGTTGAAGTGAGTTTAGCAGATGTGAGTTACTCACCCACACTGAGAGAGGGCCAGGGACACTCCATTCACCATGGCAATGAGAACTACATGAGTCTCAGAAACACCGGCATTTAGGAAAGAAGTGTTTTATGGCTCTTTTCTGCCATTGAAAAGGGTTCTTTAATTTCACTAAAGATGAAAAAAAACCTCTATAGCAGAGGCCAAATGAATAAATAATTAGAGATGAAGGCCATAACTCCCTTAGTGAAAAGGAGCCTTTAGTACTTGTGATTGTTGGCCTTTCTTGTCAACTTTATTGGATTGAGAGATGTCTAGGAAATTACTAAAGCACACTTCTGGATGTGTCTGCAAAGGCGCTGCCAGGGATGATTGGCATTTTGGACAGCAAACCAATGTGGGAGACCTGCCCGAAATGTAGGCAGCACCATCCAACTGGGCAGGTGCCCAGACAGAGCAAAAGAGGAAAGGAGGAAGCCCATCACACGTACTCTTTCACTCTCATTGCTTGCTTTCTGCCACGAGGTGAGCCACTTTTCCATACCACATGCTCTCTTATCATGCTTCATCCAAGCCCCAAAACAATGGAGCTAAGTAACCATGGACTGAAATCCCCAAACTCATAAGCCAAAATAAACCCCCTCCTGTGTTAAATTTTGTATTGTTATGGTTTATGTCTACATGTCCTCCTAAAGCCTCATAGGCTCATAGGCAGGACTTCTGGAAGGTGACTGGAATATTGGGACATTATAGCTGACTTGTGGTTAGCAGGTGAAGCCTGGTTGGGAAAGGTGATCTCTGTGGGTGTGACTCAGAAGGTTACACAGTCTTTCTGGGCTCCTTCCTGATTCTGTCTGCTTCCTGCCCACCATGCTGTGAGCAGCCCTCCTCTGCCATACTCTTCTGCCATGTCACCTTGCCTTGGAACCAGCAGACTAGGGCCTGGAAGCTCTTCAGACTGTGAGCCAAAATAAACCTCCTCCTTTAACTTGCATGTGTCAGCTATTGTGTCTCAGTGACAAGGAAAGTGACTAAAATATGTTTACTAGGTTTTTTGTCACAGCAATAAAAGGCTGATGGACACAGTACTGTTCAAAATGTGTAGACCTAAATGAATCCTTGAATTTGGATCGTTTGTTATGTGGTCTTTTGGGTAGAAATACATGAGCAGCTCTCTAAGGTTTACTTGATTTCTACAAAGAAAGTAAATCTGGTGCACAGAGAGAGGCCTCAGATGAACCATTGCAATATAGAGTGACATATCTTTACCTAATTTCCATACCTAAGTTTGATGAGGTAGTTGAAACAGGTTGAATTTATGGGAATTCTTGAGAAAGAAAACCATAATAACAATCTATGTATCTTGTCTAAAATCTTGCTCCTACTTTTCCCTAGAGACAAATTCCATGAATTGCAGGTTGCATGATAAAGTTTTGAGAATGAAAGACAAATTCCTGCTCCTATACTATACTTTTTATTGTTGTTGCCCATACAACATGAACCACATTTGGATGTGCTTCTCCAAATATTCAGAAGGAACTGAAAGGCACCCCGAATGGGATCCAAAGCAAAGTTTTCCCAGATGGTCCAGGTAATTGAAATAGTGCTGTCTAGACTCTTACAATCTAAGAGATCTAAAGGTGCTGGTGTGTTTCTGGAAGATTAGGACGCTGTATGACTGTGAAAGTTGTGGTAGGGGATATCAGCAGACTGCTCTACAGTTTTGAAGCAAATGCAGACATTCTTTGTGAGGTAACTGTTCTAAGAAACAGCTTATGGTGAGAGCTTTGGTAGAAAGTGAACATCTGACCACATAAGACAAGGTGACTATGAAAATTGGGATACCAATTATTAACTGAGTGTCACCTCTAACGCCATAAAGTCAGCAGTGCTCGTCTGAACTCTTTATCATTAAATGCAATAGTTGATTTGTAAGCTCCCCTTTGCCTAGACATGGGGATTTCTTTATGACTTCCCTGCCTATAGCTCTATCTCTCTCTGTGTATCTATCTACCCCTGTATACCTCTCTTTCCCTCTCCCTCTCTCTATCTCTCTCTCTCCCTCTCTCTAGCTATCTTTATCTCTCTCTAGCTATCTCTATCTCTATCTCCATCTCTGATTTACAGATAGCTCTGAATCCAGCTGTGGACAGCTGTGGCACTGTAGCTCCACTGAGGAACAATCTTGAAGAATGATAGAGAAGAAGAAAGCTTCCAGTATAATGTTAGGTAGGATATATTTTTTAACTTTTTCCAAGAGGAGAGATGACCTGAGGCCTAATCATGATTAGGGACTAAATGTTTGGCTACGTGGCCAGGACTCAGAAGGAATAAGAATTGATGAGAATAAACTTTAGTAAAAAAGGTACATAAATGAACTTCTTAGACTAACACTTGAATGTTAGAATATTTGGTTCTCCCATGAATGTTTATCAAAAGACATTCACTGGAGAGGAGGCTTGTAACTTGTGTGACAACCCTATGAGTAGCCTCTTCTCTCAGCTACCCAAATGCTTGTTCACTGAGTTCATAAATAATGGGGCACAGTGCCTAGGATAGTTTTATGAAGCTGGCTTTCTCCTCACCAAGGCTGGATACTACCACTGTGAAATATCGTATTTGCCAGCAACAGCAAACCGACCTTAATCTTTCCATAGAAATATTAATCCAGAGGCATCAAACAGCCACCTGGTAGCAGATTGATTATATATATCATGGAGGGGTTGGGGATTCACTCTTCCTGTGACATGTGGGGATTTGAATTTGTCTTTATTATGTAGTTTCTGCCTGCAACTCTGTTTGTAGACATTCTAGATAGCATGTACAAAGGTTGATTGAAAAATACAGTGAATATATACATTTAAAATTTTTTATTATGGTGAAAGACACAATTCCATTCATCTCCCTCAAAATACTTCCCCAGCTAACACATATATCTCATTGTTCTTGGCGATTTCTGAAGCAGTTCTGGAAGTCCACTTTTGTGAGTGTCTCTATGAGGTTTGATCAAAAAAAATATTAATGAATGCTGCTGCCAAGTGCCATCGAACAGAAAGACAGGCCTATAAAGACATCACAGTGTGTCCTTGTTCGCCTTATTCACGGAATCTGCTATCATGTAATGTATGGATCTTCCCCAAAGGCAAAATAACCATGAAAGGTAAATGTTTTGAATCAACTTAGAACATCAAGGCAGCCATGACAGCACAACTAAAGACGTGAAAGAGGACTTCCAGAACTGCTTCAGAAGGTGGCAAGAATGATGCCATAAGTGTGTTTGAGGCAAGGGAGAGTGTTATAAGGGGGTTAATAAAATGTGTCTCTTACTGTATAAATTGTTTAAAAAATTTAAGCACATACTATATTTTTAAAATCATACCTCATGTATTGTCAAATTGTCCCACTCAAGATGGCTTCTGAGTAGGGAGGGAGCTTATTTTGTAGCAAAATAATAACAAGATATACATGGAATTCATGGGCCTCGCAGATGAGCAACATGGACTTTCTTTTTTTGTTTTGTTTGTTTTTGTTTTTTGAGGCAGGGTCTCGCTATGTAGTTCAGATTGGTCTTGAACTCACTGTGTAGCCCAGGTTGACCTCAAACTTGCAGTGATCCCCCTGCCTCAGCCTCC